TGCTGAGGGTTTCTTTTGGGTAAGCACACAAACAGGTTTTATATACCATGTGCATATACTCCGTATATCCTTGAGAAAACCATATTCTCTGTTTTCGCAGGTAGAACTATATATGTGCATGTCTATTAGGCCAAACTTTTGCTTTTATTGTTGAAATTTTCTATAACATTGCTGGTTATTTTTATCTGCTCAACTTTTAAAACATGAGGAGAAATGTGTTAAAATCTTCCACTCTAATCAGGGACTCAGTCATTTCTCTTTGTGGTTTGTTTAATGTGGCTAGAGGTTATTTCATTGGGAGCATGCATGCTTGTGATTATTAAACCATTTTGGAAATTGAGTTTTTATTTACAGTGAGTAGTGCTCTTTATCATTAATAATCTTTGTAATTTTAAAACTCACTTTCTCAAATGTTAATCTAGTTCCATCTGTTTTCTAATGGTTATCATTTGCTAGATACTGCCTTTCCCATTTTTCACTGTTTGACCTTTGTTTGTTCTTTTATTATGCAGGTACGCCTTGCAAGCTACTTGTATCTAGTTACTGTCTTTTTATTTAAACTGCCCACCCTTTAGCTGGGGAGTTTGACCTATTTACATCCGTTAACATTATTAATACATATCTGCTTCTCTCATCTTAACTTATTATTTGTCTACCATTATGGTATGTTTCCCCTTAATAAACTCTTACCAGTTTCACATCCTTTGGTTTCCCCACCGCCCTAGCCCAATTGTGCTGACAGTCTCTAGACCAGCGGTTCTCAACCTGTGGGTCGCGACCCTTTTGCACCATCGGAAAACACATTCTGCATATCAAATATTTACATTATGATTTATAACAGTAGCAAAATTACAGTTATGAAGTAGCAACGACAATAATTTTACAGTTGGGGGTCACCACAACATGAGAAACTGTGTTAAAGGGTCGTGGCATTAGGAAGGTTGAGAACCACTGAGACAGTAATACTGAGTTATATATATATTGCCGCTTTATCTTTGATTGTGGTTAAACACTTCCGACCTTATTATTCCATAATCACTTTCCCAAGATATTTGATAAACATTATTTTATATTTTTGGAGCATATCTTTTAAATACCTTTTCTTATTTCGGTACTTTATCTAAAACATTTTCCAATGTTGGTCTTTGTGGGGATAAACTTTCTTAAGAATTGTATACCTAAGAATATTTTTATCCTGACCTCATATGTGAATGACATTTGGGCTGGATATAATTTGTCTTAAGTTTTATTCTTTTAATATTTTAATGATACTGACTCATTTTTCTTTTCCATTTAATTTTGCTATGAAAAGTCTTATCTTAATCTGTTTGTTTTCCCTTTGTATATAATGTGTCCTCTCTGTCTTTAGGCTTTTAGATTTTTCTCTTCTCATTTGTATATTCTTTTAAGTTTCAAAATAATATGATGAAGTGTGGATTTTCCCTGTCTTTCTTTTTTGGCATTCTACAGACACTTTTATTGTTAAATCAAAATAATGATAACATAAGATGAAATAAAACATACTGTAGTCTTTTATTTAGTATTAATTCTTGAAAATGTGTTTACATTATTTTATCTCCTTCCAATTTTATTTCTCTCTCTACTACTCCCAATATTTGTATTTTAACTCTCAGAAATCAGTTCTTCATGTTGTTTAGGTTTTCTTGCACAAGTTCTATTTGTTGATCCTTTATATTCATCCTCCCACAAAAATACTGTATTCTGCTTTTAAATTTTACTAATTATTTATTCCATTTTTGGTGTATTTATTTTGCTATTTTTTTTCCATACTATAGTTCTTCCCGCCCACACCCCCCAGAATTATAATGTTCCTATCTCTTATGTCTCTTTGATTTTTTTGGCAACTGTGTTTATTTTTTAATATTTTATAGTATAAATTTATGACAAATACATTCCCTTATTTATTTTCGGTTAATTTAAGAAACTTGGTTTCATTTACTTTTTTATTTTCAATTTTGTTTTTTTCTGTTTTTGCTTTTGATGCTTATTCTAATTCTACATGTTGTTTTATTTTTTAAATAATTATTTTTTGAAATGTTTTGGTATTTTTTTCCTGCGAGCTCATTTTCTTCAGGAAATATTGATTATGGACAACAGTATGTATGTGGGAAGGTCCACTTCAGTTTCTATTAGCTCAGTAGTGTTGATGTGAATAAAATCTTGGGGAAGAGCCGCAGATACCAGGAAACCACTGTCAGTAACTGCTTATCTCATAGCAATTTCTTAGATCAGGTGTTTACTTTTTTCTATCCAAGGAAGATATTGTCTTGTAGAGAACTATACTCTACCTTGTTGAATAGATTTTATAGTAAATTCCTTATTTTATGCTTTTAAAATATGTGAGTTTGTTGTCAACAATAATATGTTTGCTATTGTCAAGTCAAATGTTTTGCTTCACTGAGATAGCAATCTCTCTCTTTTTTTTTTTTAACCAGAATGAATATTTTTCATAAAATATCTATCTGGTTGCCTGCTAACCTACTAATTAAAGTTAAAATTTAACCTGAGTAACTTATGCTTTTGACAAAGGTAGAAATAAGTTTTCTTTGTGAGCTCTTTCAGATGTGTATGCAAGCTTTAAATTTTCACTAACATTGTACTCTGAAATCTTCTAATGGAGAAAAAGGCATTTTGGGTTACGTAGAGTATATAACATTCTTTGAAACTGAAACACAATTGTTTAATGATATTCACAAAGTGATTAGCCATTTACATGAAAGAGAGCAGTACCTTCAGCATAAAATTAAATAGTATATTAATTACTGTGCTTTAGGGCATAAATTAGACAATAACCAAGATCAGGAGAAGATGTAATACAGCCACAGTGAAGCAGGATTAGATTCATTATCAGAATTTCAAGCCCATTTCTAAGGAATAATGCACTGGGTAGCGAAGTGCTATAGCTAGGACCCTCTTATTTCATTGTCGCAGTGTAGCAGTAATATGGCTCCTTTTCTTCCATAACAGTTCTGCAATTTGCCACTTCTGTATTGAAGTCCATCTGAATTCGAGCTCTTTAGAGGAAAAGTGCCATTTCCTCAGTTCCTTTCCCTTCATCCCCTTTTTGTTCAGTGTTTCCATTATGTTTCTCAAAGGTGCAGAGGAACCGTGCATTTCAGGTTGGTGTTACCTCAGCTTACAACCAACAGGCTGTTCAAAAATTCTTTACAATTTTGTACTTAAAAAAAAAAAAAAAAGCAGGACTAAGTGATTCATATCTTAGGGAAAGAACTGCTTTTTGGATTTCTTCCTAATTGTATCTATCTGATGCTACCACATACCATCTTTCCAATTTGGTAAACTTTTCCCCTGTTTTGCACATGGAGAAATTGAGAAGGAATAAATATTTAAGTATCCCCATTCCAATATCCATTAAGTAAAAATTGATTTTAAAACAATGAATTTATATAAAATAAAGGATAAAAGTGAGGAATCTTAACAAGGTTAATAATTGAAAAGACCAGTGTATGAAAATATATACCAGAATATCAAATGCAGGCTTGGCGGCTGGGGCACCAGCCACATGCACCAGAGCTGGCCGGTTCCAATACAGCCTGGGCCTGCCAAACAACAGTGACAACTACAGCCAAAAAATGGCCCAGCATTGTGGTGAGCACCTGTAGTCCCAGCTACTTGAGAGGCTGAGGCAAGAAAATCGCTTAAGCCCAGGAGTTTGAGGTTGCTCTGAGTTGCAATGCCGTAGCACTCTACCAAGGGTGACATAGTCTCAAACAAACAAACAGGAATATCCTATACAGTCTTGAATTTCTTTATTGACATGCAAATAAACTTATATACTAGATATTTCAACTGCATTTTCAAAGTATTTCCTCAGAAATATACATTTATTATATATTCCATCATAGATTACTACCTTAGAAACAATTTTGGTCCTAATACGTCCTTTCTTTGTATATATTTCCTGTCTCATAAATGTCAAAGGTTCTTTCAGATTGAACTGGACTTTGTAAGAAGTGGGAATCTGAATTAGACTCCCCATGATGATCTTGTTCTAGCTGTTTGATTGTATGTTTTGTTCCTAAACCTTGAGAAAAGAAAAAAAAATTGCTTCTTATTCAGCTCTTGGTTTATTGCTCAGAAATGGAATAAAGATGCTTAGAATGGAAATATTTTAAAATTTCAAATCCTGCACTATAACTATAGCTTGTTCTGGAATAATGAATATTAACTTGAAATATGGACATTATTCAAATTTAATTTTCTTGGGAGATCTAATCAATAAGCCCATTTTGAATAATGAATTGGTGCAATTTTGAATTGTGTATAAAGTACCTTAGCTTTTCTGAAAAATTGTTCCCAAGAAGTAGTTCACGAATTGCAGCGTTGCTATAATTGGATGTACCCTATATTCACTAGAGGCAAAAGTAGTTTTAGACTACTTTTGGTTACCAGCTGGGATATTTATAATAATCTAGAACATTAAGTGTACAATGAGAAAAATTATGCCTTCCAGGAAGGAAAGAGTTTCCCATTTAATTAACAATGTAAAACACCCCTTGACTGTGAGTTGCTGGTAGCACTGATGGTATTAAGAAAGCTTTCATTACACCTAATTTGGGGTATGCAATGAACTTTCCAGCTTTGCAAAGACTTGTATTGATTTTTGTCCGAAATGATATTTTTAATTGTATTCATTTATAACCAGGTCAAATGCTGGATCAAACTTCTATAACTTTGTAAATATTAATAGGAATTTTCCTTCATCCATGAATTGATTTCTCTTTTTGCTTAAATATGAATAGCTTTTTTCCCCAGCATATCTTATCCACAAGCATTCCATAAAGTATTAAAAATAGTCAATGCATACTCTTCTCTCATTTAAAATTAAATACACATATATATTACAAATTATTCTTAACAAAGTGGCAGATTTAATATGGAGAATATAAAATGTATGGCAGAATATATCCGTGCACACAGAAGGTTTAATTGACCTTTTCTTTATTTTTCCTCTGAAGTTATCTGGAAGTATTTTGGATGTGTATACTGGCGAGCAGGGAATTTCACCAGTTAAGATGGGACTTACAAGTGCTTCCTGTCCAAGTAGTCTACCAATGAAAAGGGAAATTACAGGTAATGTTGCTTGTTTAGTTTTTCTCATTTTAGTTTCTACCAACTGCATAAAATATGATTGAAATCTATTACCATGTTAAAGAGAACATTTAAAATGTTATCAAAATATCAGTTAAAAAGGAAAACATTTAGAGAATAATGTCTCATTTTCCCTATGATATGCAAGCAGTAAGACAATACAACTTACAGTTTAACTGAATTTATTCATTATTTGAGGAATTCAGCAAATATATACATATATGGGTTACATACATGGCAATTTAACTTAACAGAGGTTTCATTTTGAAATTGAATAGATGCAATCTGGTCACCTAGTTGCAAAATAATATATTAAATTAGGGGAATTAGTTTATAGTTTGTATGAAGAATGTGATATGCAGCAAAACATTTTTGTTTAGAAGGATTTTTCTCTTTGTAGCTTGTTTTACAGATTTTATGATAGACATGTACTTAACTTTATCAATATGCAAAAAAATCCTCAACTTTCAATACATTTTTTTTCAAACTTTATACAACTCAAAGGAATTATAGGAGCATAGTCAAATCCTTCCAAAATATAGATGAGAAAATCAGGCATCAGAGGAATTATTTTCCCAGAGTAACACAGCTGGTTTGAGGCAGAAATGGATCAACATAAACATCTCCTGACTTGCGAGTTCAGTATTAGTCCCTCCATAAAAATAAAATAAAATTCATTTGAAATTTTTATAACAACTTTTTATTTTGGAGTCAAACCTGGTTTTAATAATTTTATATAGTTAGCAGTAACATTTTAAATCAATATAGTATGACCACTCTTGCATTTTAATCGATAACCCCCAAATGTTTATGCAATCATTCAGACTAAAATTAATGAATATAGTTTTAAATAAATACATTTAAATAATATGTATTATTTTACCACCTATTTTCACAACTATAGCAGTTCTACTAACATTGTATTATTTATTTATTGTTTTACAGCACCAATTTACTCTTGAAACTTAGCAGCTTGAAATAATAAATGTGTATTATCTCATTTAACCTTTGAGGAATGAATCCAGGAGTGGGTTAGTGAATTGGGTCTGATCAAGGGTCTCTTATAATGTTATAGACAAGGGGTCAGCTGAGGTGCAGGCATCTGAGACTTGAGTGGGGCTAAAGGGGGCATGCCATGGATGGCTCACCCAAGGTCTTGCAAGAGGCTGAGTTGTGTTAGCAAGTGGTCTTGGTTCTCAACCTCCTAGACCTCTTCATAGGGTCACTTGAGCATCCTCATGACATGACAGCTGATAATCTAAGAGACACCAACATGACAGCTGAAAATTTCTTCTATGATCCAGCCTTGGCAGCCACAGTAGTCATTTCTTCAACATGCTATTGGCTTGCTAGGTCAGCCCTATTCAGTGTCCAAGGAAAC